GAGCAAGCGTTCTAGCTATTTTCGTGAACCAGTTTTTTAGCATCTCAGGGAGCCTGTTTCTTTCACTGTGTCAAGTTTGGAAAACTACCTAATTGTTGTTAAGCTTTTTCTACCTCGGCAATTTTTTTGTCTTTTTAACGGATCCCCTATTTTTATATATGTGCCTTATTGTACGGTGCTTGATTACGCGCATTTCCACTCTTCTTGACAATCACTGTTTGCCTTTCAATAAAAATGGTATTTTTCTCCTAAGTTTTAGTAGTTTTGTAGGGTTCGGTAGAGTATTCGCGCCGGCTTATTTTGTGGTCTTTGTAATCAGCCTCTTTTCAGGCTAAATTACCTCAGGTAGAACTTGCATGTTTGACTTCCGAGCTGGCCTATGTCTTCCTCACAATTTTTTTCGTTCACCCTTTTACATGGAAGAGGTCTAAGCGATCTCAGTTCATCACTTTGCATGGATACATGAAGGCCATTACCAGCAGTCGCCATATGACTGTGAGGAAATAATACCTCAAGAAAAGATTTGGTAGAAGGGAAATTGGCACGTACATAAAGGCCCTTTCCCCTAACAAAAGCATTCAAGAACAACGTGCCTAAATCTTTGAACAAAAACGATGCACCTGTGCACCATGTTTAAGTAAGACACCATCATTTGGGTTGACACAACGTCCATTGAGGACAAATTCCAACGCAGCGGATGGCAACAACTGGCTACCTTTCTGCGGATATTCTGGCTGGAACGTGACAACATGAACTCTACTGAGGTCGGTTAAGCGCTATGCTTTTAAGATCTCTTACAACCTGCAAGCCGAAGCAAGTGAAACGTACTCAGGGGGCTTGAAGCTCCCACAACACTCATTGTGACTGTGTCATGCATTGTGTTCGACTCCTTCGGCGGCGTGGACTAGTGATGAAAAAACGTTTTACTAGGTGTTGGTTAGAAAAGCGCACTACACGCCCCGACCACGCTGCACTGGTGAGGGATTGCTGCTACACTGCTGTCGTACACATGATCCTTCAGCTTCGACGAAATTCCCAGCTATTCAGTTTAAAGTAGGTCTGGCGGACTGACCTTGCGGGGGAAAACTCAATCGTATCGTCAACATAATCCACTTCCTAACAGTTACACTTTGGTTTCCCAGGTTTCCGGTCCCTGTATATCTAAATTTAGGGGTTTCGTTATTCACAGCTGAAAACAAGAATGATAGGAGGCAGCCTTGATTATCCCCATGGATTGTGGGAAGAACATATGGAAAGTTCATTGTTGGTGTTCAGCGATAACAGTACAAGGGACATGAAGTATACTATCGAAATTCGAGGACTCCTGTGCGGGTATATTTAGGAGCATTATTTTATCTACGGAGTCAAAAGGCCCTGTCAGTGAACGCCCTGATTGATGGTTGGTGGTGCTCGCGGCAGTGCTCCCGACTAAAAGTTGCCAGCTTGACGTGGTGGGCGGGCTTGTGTACCGCAGTGATCTCGAGGGATAAACTGGCTGTAGCTTTGTTCCACTAGTTGGAATCATGCCAGGAAAATAAAATGGGAGCATTCATACAAAGAGCAGCGAGACACCGTATTACCAAGCGATATGAGGCTAAATTCACACTGTCTTCGGTGATGAGTGTATAAAGGCAGTAAGTTTTACCCAAGCGACAAGTATGTTCAGATTTATGGAAGCAGCGATGCTGCTTTCTACCGAGGAAGGACGGATTACAAAAGACCAACCTCAAGGACCTCATGAACTCATCGCCCAACGGGTTTCCTCACCGCCTGCGAACCTTCCTATACGATTGAAATGCACACAGGTCATGTCACGAACCCAATAGGACCCCACACGCATCTGCTGCACGCGACGTCACCAGGGGTGAGATATCTACGTGCCCTCGGGCCATGCCATCCCGATTCAGCCGATCAGGTCAGACTAATAACTCATTAAATGTAGGCGGCGCCCCTCAGAATAAATTACTGCCCGCCGCTCCGTCGGCCAGACTTTTGAGTCAAAGTCTCAAGGGGCATCATCTCCGAACAAAACCATCCCACCCACTGCCCTGTAGGTCTGACTTTTGAACCAAAGGCTTAAGGTATGTCACCTCAACTTATCCCTCAGACTAGTCAACCGAGAGCAGGGCGGACTGACCTTGCGGGGGAAAACTCAATCGTATCGTCAACATAATCCACTTCCTAACAGTTACACTTTGGTTTCCCAGGTTTCCGGTCCCTGTATATCTAAATTTAGGGGTTTCGTTATTCACAGCTGAAAACAAGAATGATAGGAGGCAGCCTTGATTATCCCCATGGATTGTGGGAAGAACATATGGAAAGTTCATTGTTGGTGTTCAGCGATAACAGTACAAGGGACATGAAGTATACTATCGAAATTCGAGGACTCCTGTGCGGGTATATTTAGGAGCATTATTTTATCTACGGAGTCAAAAGGCCCTGTCAGTGAACGCCCTGATTGATGGTTGGTGGTGCTCGCGGCAGTGCTCCCGACTAAAAGTTGCCAGCTTGACGTGGTGGGCGGGCTTGTGTACCGCAGTGATCTCGAGGGATAAACTGGCTGTAGCTTTGTTCCACTAGTTGGAATCATGCCAGGAAAATAAAATGGGAGCATTCATACAAAGAGCAGCGAGACACCGTATTACCAAGCGATATGAGGCTAAATTCACACTGTCTTCGGTGATGAGTGTATAAAGGCAGTAAGTTTTACCCAAGCGACAAGTATGTTCAGATTTATGGAAGCAGCGATGCTGCTTTCTACCGAGGAAGGACGGATTACAAAAGACCAACCTCAAGGACCTCATGAACTCATCGCCCAACGGGTTTCCTCACCGCCTGCGAACCTTCCTATACGATTGAAATGCACACAGGTCATGTCACGAACCCAATAGGACCCCACACGCATCTGCTGCACGCGACGTCACCAGGGGTGAGATATCTACGTGCCCTCGGGCCATGCCATCCCGATTCAGCCGATCAGGTCAGACTAATAACTCATTAAATGTAGGCGGCGCCCCTCAGAATAAATTACTGCCCGCCGCTCCGTCGGCCAGACTTTTGAGTCAAAGTCTCAAGGGGCATCATCTCCGAACAAAACCATCCCACCCACTGCCCTGTAGGTCTGACTTTTGAACCAAAGGCTTAAGGTATGTCACCTCAACTTATCCCTCAGACTAGTCAACCGAGAGCAGTCATTTGCCCGCACAGTTCTTTGTCCATCAATATCTCTCCACACCTTACAAGGAAGCGTCGCTGGATTATTTGACCGCCACTTATCTCACCAGCGTGCCTTATCCACCTCGCCGCCCGTTGACAAAAAATTTCTACATCGGAGCTTTTGACCTCAGAATTCCGCAAGGTAACAAAAAGGTAATACACAGTTATTATACTGTCACACAGTTAATGTGCTGTTGTGTCTCTGAAACACACTAGAAAAACTCATGCATGAGGATGCATCTCAAAGTTCTCAAGAGTAACCCAGCACTTTCGCGTTTTGCTCTCCTGGTTTGGTGGTCTTGTGCATCCAGTGGTCCATGAACGACGACTAGTGAAATACATAGCGTGGAGCTTGCACTCAGCCCCAGAACTGAACACGCCTTGCTGGATTTAATTACAGTGAAAGGTTGTTTTTTCACCGCCTTATTCAGCTCAATCAATCCCAATGTAATTCGACATTAGAACTGGTTCCAGTTTGTAGTTTTGGCGTATGCCCCAAAAAGACTGCCGTTCGGAGGCTGAAAAGAAGCTTTCTGTTCAGATTTATCCGTGATCATTTGTCAAGCAAGAAGCACTAGCACTGTCGTCCTTGCGGGCGATATGAATGCCAAAATCGGTCATCTGAGCCCCTTAGAATCACCTCTGGACGGGCGAATCGGAGTCAATGCTCGTCGCGCAGACAACGGAAACGATGCCGTCTATTGTGTGGTGATCATCAGCTGTTTCTGATCAGCACGAGTTTTCAACATAAATGCTGGCACTGCACAACCTAGCAAACACCAGGTGTAAATCAGCCGTGAACCCAGTCGGGATCATGTGGCTATCAACCACCGGTGGACAGCCACAATTCAGGATCACCGTTCCTTTTGTGGGTACGACGTGGTTCTGCTCACACCAGAGTGTGGTCACGTGTGATACAGTTTTCCTCCAGGTCTTCGCAAGTCAGTAAAACAGCATTCCAATCCACGATCGAAATCGCTAATTTCGATTCATGCCAGGGGATCCAAAGCAGTAGGTAAAGAGTACGACGCCGCAGGTAGATCTCTCACACGCCAAATAGTGTAGAATCTAAGGAAACACATTACCAAAGGTCTAATACTTTCAAGGACAATGAAAGCTCAGGGGATCGAGGTGTATGCCACCGGAAACAGCCGCGCCCAACAACCCTACCAACCGTACGATTGACTGGAAGAAGGGAAGATGTCAGTGAAAGGATAAATGGGAAGGACGGTCCATCAATTCACTTACAAACTGGCCGAATTGAGAAATGGGGAGAGCACTTCGAATAGCCGGTTAGCTGGGTTGCGCCACTGGGGACAGTGCACGTGGGGAGGGAAGGTAAATCTCAGTCGCCCCTTAGAAGTAGGGGGTTGAGTATGAAATACTCCTGGTGGAACGTGAGGAGACACCGGAATCCGGGGGGCCTTTGTTCAGTCCCCTATAAAGATGGCGGAGTATCATGGGTCACGAATGTGAGAAAAACTCAGTGCTATGAGGAATGGAAAGTTCCTGAATGATGGGGCACATCGGTAGTCGTTCCTGTCATTGAAGTGTGTACGCGAACACTTATCTCTGAGCAATCGACTTAAGACGCGGTGTTTTCGGCATAAGATCCGTTGTCTTATGGCAGAGAACCGGTCTTTTTGTCCTTGTGGTCCCATGGCATTTCAGCCAGTGTGTCTATATCGTGTTTGCACGAGTGGTTTCTGACCTGGATTTCATCCCGGGCTTGTTGAGTATCGTATGATTGGCAGTATAGTTGATGTCCTTCTGTACTATTCCAGAATATCATCCGTCTATTCCCTCTACAAACGTTGGAATGCCCTCGAAAGCTGACTTTAAATGTCACGTTCTAACTGGTCATCTCTTGAACCCACCAGTTTTACTCGCTGGATCACCTATTGCTTGTGTCGTGTCTTTGCGTCCAACTGGGGGCTCGAAACATGAAAATAACGTTCCATGGTAAGTTTCATGAAGAAAGCTATTTTTTATCTGTTATAATATTTTTCAGTAAGGATTACCCTTAATAAATCATTCGCTTATTATCAAAGTCCTTATAAGTGCTAGGCGCAGTGGATATCCGGACGGCAGACGTTAAACATCTGATGCAGTGTGATATTTTGGTAAAAAATATAAAGGCCAATCGGGACACTTGAATTCGTCAAATTTCCTACACTGGTTAGTCACACCAGTACTCGTTCGCCTCAGCTAGCGTCACCTGAATAGAAATAATGCTTGTTCATCAGTCATAAAGAATATGTTAGGTTTCTAGCGTTCCATTTGATTTCAAAATTTTCGTGTAGCTTTGCGAAACAAGGTGAAGCTGATCCAGACAAACCTCCAAAACAATACGTCGGTTTTTGACTATCCTGTGTTGAAGTATTGGGTCAAGAGTTTGATCAGAGTTCCTTGAGTGGAACATGACGAAGTCCTCTTTTTAGTGATGTTAATCCTCCCTGATGATTAACCCCATCAAACTGAAAGTACTTGTGGAGCAAGCAACAACCTCCAAATTTCTATGATCACATAGAACGTGTATGTTTACTTTATTGCCATGGATAAAGGAACCTCTACCATGAAGGGGGAGGAATGATGGGAATGCCTAAAGGTGGCAAATCTGATGGTTCTAGTGGCTAGCCAAATTAAGTGAGGTGACACCCTCAGCACTTAATAACTACCTGGTTTTGTAGGTGTAACTTTATGTACACTGCATGCTAACTGTGGCAATTTGCCGAGATATTGGGGGTTTGAATGCGCTTCCTGGTCAGGCCGTGTTGACTTCAGTGTGAGATGGGAAACTTGTCACTCTAACCTGCACCGAATCCCAAGCTGCAGGGATCTGTGCAGATCTCGCTGCTTTTGGGCGGCCTCCTTGTAAGACACTTCTAACAAATCTGACTAAATTTAATGACTACGACTTTCCTGCCTCTTGCGAAGTTTCCGATGCACGTGTGGCTGGCTCATCGTCACTGATGGTCGTGAGTAATCCGATGTTCCTACCAAATCCTATCAGTGTTTTTGGAAACCTATGCTCAAGCACTGGTGGTCGCTTATCTTTGCGTAGTGGTCAAGTTTCTAGCTTTTTATGTACTCTGAATTGTATTTACTGGAAAGTGTCGAGGACTGTGAAAGGCCATCGCGAGTATCTTTTTATCCCTGGCGGTAGGCCGAAGCTCATTTAGTTGCATAACTGTGAATTCCCAAGATTTCGCTTGGTTCACATGCAACCATGATGTTTGGGATTTTATGACCCAGTTGTACACTAACATCCCATACTTCGCGTGGTTGACGAATACTAGCCGTTTTCATGCTCTTTGTCGACGTTGACTTGGTCAACGTGCTCATTCATCCGATACTTCCAATCCCTTATTTATAGCTGCCACACATTTGTATGTCATTGATCCGATCTAGCTACTCCAGGTTTTCATTTTTAGCCCATAAAGTTCTCGGGTGTTTTCTAGCAGTCACCCAATGGAACAAGCTTCACCTATTTTAGCGTGCGGAATGATTTTCGCACCTACTTGGCTGACTTTGGGTACTTTGAAGTTTCGTCTCTATTTACGATGGTCCCCATGTTTTGGATAAGGATGATGTCTAGTTTCTTACACATGGCTTCAAGTTCATCTTTGCATTATAGTCATCTGTACTGCGAATCACTCAGCGCGATTACTGTCCATCTGGTCTTTTTACTTGTTCCATCTACTAGCAGAATCACTGGGATGGTGGCTTACGTTGTGGGACAGTATAAGCTCGACCAACAAACACTTGCGAAGCATAAGTTGAATATCCCTACGAAGCAGATTTCCGCAGAAAAGTTTATTTCTGATGGTGATCCACATTGGTGTAAGTTTCCCTGTACTTCCGGTTTGCTTGTATTTCTCATGCTCTCACTACACCTAGGTTGCCCTCCGTCACAGCACCTGTTGTACTATTGAGACTTTGTTTTTCATGAAGTGTTTAATGGAGATTGAGATAAACATGGAGGCTTTCACTGTGGCGGCTCTCTGCTTTTCCACCAGCATGTAGGCCACCCTTCAGCATACTGTTCCGTGTATGAACATGACTGTTAGGAGCGAATATTCATCAGGGATGTCGGAATTAGACAAGCAACTGCTATAAGTTATGGTTGTGTGAGCTGTACTCTAGTTCTGGCTGTTCCAGATAGGCAGAGGCTTGTTGTTGCGAAATTTTGTTCACCATCGTCATGAACGATAGCACTATGTTCAGTTATTCTGTATCTCCTGTAAAGAGCAGCAGAGGAACGTAGTATTATTCCTCCATCATATGGTACTTTAATACTATTGGTTGAAACTAACTACGGCATGGCAGTCAGTTCCAAGTTTTCCATTTAAATGGGACTGAAAACAAGTTTCGGAATGCTAGCAGTTCGTTTACTGTCAGCCACAAACGTTAAACGAGTAACTGATGTGAGATCGGACACAATCTGGGATTTAGGTATGACTGTTCTATTCAACTGATTTCTTGCTAGAATTCAATTCATCTTCACTGCCAAACGCTTCGTTTGCGACAAGTCAGCACTAGGTTTCCTCCGTTTTCGTTCGTCATCTCCTTTCAAAGCTCCGTCCTAAGAAGTTGATGTGCTTTACAGCAGTTTGGCACCAGTGTTATCACACTCGGGTTGCCGTCACGAAATATTTGGATGAATAGTATGTTTGTCTTATAATTGCTGAGTTGGGGGTTAAAATTTAGTTCCGTTGGCTCAATTCCCTCCATCGTCGTCCCTATGCATCTGAATGCCTTCATAGTCCTTTTATCTGAGAGACTTGATGGTATTATTGGCTCTTTGGGTGGTGCCTAACGTTTGGTGGCCACAATGTGCGACTGTTTTATAGCGTAAGACAACGAACTCTGTGCGTACGCCAGTGCATTATGCTTCTCGGATTTTAGGACGGTCGGTTGTGTTTTTTTAAGTTCTCGCTACTTAGGGTCTCTTCCGAAAAGCATCGTTTCTATTTGAATTAAGCTTAGGTTCTCCAGACGCTGTAGTCTGAATCATTTGGGAGAACAGTTCTAGGCTCGATGCCCTGCTTACAGAACTGTTCAATTTGGCTCCACTATGGACCACCTTGTTCTTTCACCAGTATATTCTATCGACCGCGCTAATAAAACGACAATGACCTTCATTATGATTTTGTCACACTGTTGTTATGCGCAGTCCATCACGTGACTGTGTAACCAGTTAAAGTTGCGGTATAGGGTCATATCATAACCTGATGGTTTGTTTGTTCTTGTAGCCATGGTAATATTATGGTTTTCCGGAACAGCCAGTAGAATGCTAAAAGCTAACTCATTTTGCATGGGTTCCCTTGTCTTTCAGTTGATAGCACAAACTTATTTTCAACCGCCTTCGAGAGCAACACAAGCCTCCTTTATTCTGCTCGAATGACTGTCCATTCCAACGAAGCCGACCGTCTCTCCAGCCCTGGTAAGACGTTCTTGGGTAGACCCATTGTGGTCGAAAGCAGTGTATGATTTTATTTACACAACCTTTCGGATTATTAGTGTGCGGAAGAACAGTGAGGGCAGTTCAGTACTGTGTTGCCCCTCCACGCCACACCAGTGGCATTAAACTTTTTTTGTACATTTCCCAGCTATGAGGTGCATCCTTCTTTCCATGCATTCAGGCTTTCGCAGTGCCCTATCATGTGGGATCCAACTGGGAAACTGACTAACAGAGAACCTTTAAAAGAAAGGACACCTTTTCGGGGAGCTCACAACAACTACTGTCTAGTATGGTATCTCCATTAGGAGGTACCATATTTGCATTCCTTCCAGCGTTATCTGTTGTAGTTTTCGTGTGAACTTCTCTCGACAACTGAGGGAACCTTACCACCAATCTTTTCCTGACAAAATCCGTTTAGCTTTCTGACTTCCATGGTATCCTGCTCTAAATTACGAATACTCATTTATTCGTTCTCTGTCACCCACATGACATTGCTGTTACTTCAGCTCGCCCTTCCTTACTTTGATTTACCAATAGGATATAGCTTCACAGCTGGTGCACAGCGCCAATAGTGAAAACAGCAAGCAAATCATGTGACACTTTTTATATAGCTCATATATGATAGAAGCACCGAAATTCCTAATGCCTACCGTCCATTTATCCGTTATCTGACCGCATCTGGTAACAATTAGGTTAGGTGTCCGAATATCAGTAGCACTTCATCCAGTACGTTACTCAGGTGGTCTACCAGGGCTTTAGTCAGTGCTGAAGTTGAGGCCTTAAACTTTGAACATGTACCAGGCGCTCGACGTGGCTACACCGACTTTGTGAGCCCCATTTAGGGTGATACACCTAATGTTCTGTCAGCTATCCACGTTTGAAACAACTTCAGGCCGAATTCCGTCAAAACCGAAGCAAACGGAGTTTGTTAAATTACTCATCTATTGGTTTTTTGTTTGTTTGAGAAACTTAACCACTGGCTCGCAAGCGGTTCTTCAATGATCAAGATGACATTGTTGATGCCCACTGCTGGTGTCTGCTCGAACAGGTGCCGAAGTAGAAGACTCACTTGAGTGACGACAAATTCGACACACTACTAAGCCGCTGATTTCGAGATAGCTCAGTGGTTACGCGGCGAACTTAATGACCGGAAGGTCCGTGGTTCGAACCCAACTCCTGGATTTCGACTGTTTCTGTCTAAGCTTAGGCTACCTGATAGTACCTCAGCTCTCGTTCTTCTTTCAGTCATCATGCTAGCTAGACACAGAGTGCTACAGATCGCGTTGTCATTGGTTTTAGTAAGTTGCTATCTGTGCATGCATCCTTATAGAAATTCGTCCTATGCAAGGTCCTATGCAGCCTGATATTGTTTTAGCTGCCTGGCTTATTAGGTATGAGTGAGCTGGTTAGACCGTACGCTGTGGAACTCTTCTCTTTATGCTAAGGCAACGGGATTGCCTTAGCTGTTGGTACTAGCTCCCATTGAATATCAATTACGGATGGCGAACTCAGATATATAACTCGAGCGAACCGACATGGCTATAAGTTAGTCACCGATGTTCTCTGGAACATGTCAATGATTATTGTAATGGAAAGACATGTAACGTGTCTAGGAGTCTAAGTGTTTCTACTCTCCTGCTTGTTTACTGTTGGAATCCAAATTAGTCTGTCGTTAACATCTTCGGCGCATCAGTAGTTATGTAGATACTAAATCTAGTATATCGGCGTTAGATGATAAAGCAGGACATTCATCTAGTGATTTGGAAATCCCAGGCTTGTTTTACATCAAGTGTTTGTTATCTAGTTCTTTCGTGGAAGGCGAGTTCCCCTTACCCGTTTTAGTCCGGTCGGATTTTTTTGGCATTTCCGCTGCTCTTTTGCTCTTCATAGTAAACATCTCCACAATTCTTCCGGAGGATGTCCCGCCAAGTGTCCGAGGCAAACTGCTCAAAATAGCATACAAAGTACTCATTGGTGTGCAGTTAGAGTCTGGGGACCATTCAGCTACATCTACTCATCTACTACAGATTCCTTTTCGTGTGCTACCAGCTATCTCACTGTACTCGTCGCTGTGTGAACCAGAACACATCCCAGTCTCCGGTGATTTTCACAAGAATCCTCCGGTTTATCATCCAAATGAAGAAAATCCATTTTTTGTTCCATCCCAATGTAATAACGATGATGGTGTATTCGGGATCCCTGCCTATGATGTATTTTCAACAGTATCCTCCGAACCCGCTATGACTTCACTGAAAGTTAACGCAGGAGATCTCCGTAGTGCACTTTCTATGGCTACGAACAAAAGAGAACCTCATCTGTCTCCAAGTAAACCTACCAGGACCGTCGGTGATACTGACCTCGAATCTAGTTTGCTTGAGAGTGAAAAACGCATGAAGCTTCATCGAACTTTATCCTGCACTCAACCCAGTAAGTTGCCTTGGGAATTTACTCCACGTAGGTCATTTGGCTCAACAGATGCATGGTGTCAATGGTAAATTATGCTTGTTTTGGTACTCCTGTGTTCCACGTCTTTTGATACAACAGTTAAGTTCAGATTCTTTCTGTTTCAGTCGACGGGTCACTGTCAGCTTAGCACCTACACTTGAGCTGGGGATTGGTCTATTTGGCATGCAATGTACATGCCGACCAGAGATTCACGAACCAACGTTTCTTTTTATATGACATCAACTGTGTTTGATCTAAGAAGATCGCATTTAGGTATGGCAAATTGTTATAGTTTCTCGGAGTGCCATTTGCATAAGAGCTTAAATTTTATGCCATTTGATATCGTACTAAGGGGCAAATTTTGTATCACTTATGCTTGTTTTGCTTGAAAATCAATATCTAAAGCAAATTATTTCTAAGGTTAAAGCTGACTGAGATATTTGTTGTGCAGCTTCGTGCGCTCTGGAACAGTTTGTTTTTCTTCATTGCATTGCAACCGTCCCCCGACCGATTCATCCAATCTCGAATTTGAAAGTACCCTATGATTTCCAAGTCAGTGATGCTCGTTAGAAATCGTGCCTGCCGAAGCAGTTTCTTTTGAACACCAGTTATCCTAATGTTTTTGTCCTGTGAAAACTACCCACTGTTTTAGTGTCATTCGGCATGTAACAAACCTAGCTGAAGTTTTGTGGGGGGGATTAGACGGACTGCGTATCGGACATCCTTATACTAAGTCATGTAGTGTTAGACAAAAGTTGACTGTTCCATTGTACCCTTTCTGACACAAGGTCATGACAGTGTCTTATATCTGATGGCGTGTACGTGCAAGTTTATTCCGTCGGTTCCAATGCAAATACGACCCATTTCGTACTCACAGTTCTCAAGTTTGTTGATCTGCATCCATTTTCTCTTTGCATTCCCCTTTCAGGAAGTTTTTCTTTTTTCTCTCCTGCTCTTCCATTGGGTTAATTTTTTATCAGCACGTGTATTATCTCTTTCAGCACACTTCACTGTATCTAGCGCCAAAGGATTTGTTGGACGCCTTTGTCTGTTGAGGACTCTTTTCCGCGCTGAGGACCTTATTCGCGGTTACTTCAACTTTATGGACGCGGAAATAGTTTGTCTGCGGTGCACAGTCAGTTTACAATGTGAGGAATGGTACCGGTTTAATCCAGACATTATGGACACGTTTGCGAAACACGCTGATATCAATAACGACTCAGCATTCAAATGTCTGCCCCTGAGTGAATACGAGAAACTGTGGACGGCGGAGTCAACCACACATTGCAGTACGTACCTGGCTTTCCGTCTGAGCAACGTTTAATTGCTGCACATAGCGTGCAAATGCTTGTTGTATGTATTGATATATACTGACTGTCTACTGTACATGTATGTTGGTCATTGTGTCTAGCCGAAATACGCCCACCGAAATGTTTACCGTTACTGGGCCCCATAGTCCTAGGCGCTGCTCGCTCATACTTGCCCGTAATCACTACGTGATCTCTACTCGGTCTACACCCTAAGGTTTCCTTCATTTCACATTTGGGGCGTGAATCTGAGGAGGCTGGAGCCACTCTAGATGATTTAGCGCTGATAGCTATGTGCAGAAGCTATATTACGACTGAACAATTTTTGCGAGTGCTCCGTTTTGCCAACCGTTTGGTTAGTCCACCATGTTCAACAAGATGAGCTTTATAGTGAAGCGAGTAGTAAGACAAGGCCTGATTTATTGCATGGTTTATTATTTGATAAGTTCACTATTGAGACTTTCTGCATTCTTTTCTGATATTTGCCTGCATCATAGCCATCTAGTTTCTCCAATCACCTAAAAAGAACGCTGTCTTGAGTCACCGGCTCGCCTCCGGACAAAAGTAATCGTTCATTGTTCGTTGTATCAACGTCCATTTGAATGATTGTGCACCATAGACAACTTTTTGCAGCCGTACTCATTTCGAAGTCTGACAGAAGATTGATCACCCTAGAGCAGCTTCGCAGCTCCCAGTCCATCGGGACTGGTCTTTTGCCCCTCCAAGTTCTTCCATCCCGAAATAAGGTCTCCACGAATAATAGATGGTCTATCCACAAGTAATAAATGAAAATAGCGGATCATTTTAACTTCATCAGCATTTTAAAAATGCACTTCAAGTGGTACACGGTCTTTTACCCATTTTAAAATTCATATAACCTAATGGGAGCTCCCGGTAATCCCCCCACTGGTTGTACCAAATTTAGATAACAACTAGGGAGGATGTAGTGCCTGTCATTCTTTCCGTCTTAGTTACTTTGTCTCTTTGGTTTGCTGTGGGGTGGATATCTGCGCATTGTAGGCGGTAACTGATATAATTTATACGTAAGTACAGGGTTGTCAGCGGACTTTTAATTGAGGAGATTAGAAGGGGGCTATGTAGGAATGCAGTGACTTTGATGCAAAACCGCTATTGAGAGCGTAACTGGGCCATCTCTGAAAATGTCTAACCAATAATATGTCCCATTCCGGGGTCTCCCATCCAGGGAGATGGCAATGAGCAGCGTAGTCGAGTTTTCTGGCAATCGCTTTCAAACTTCGCTGCCAAGTCATTGTTTGACCTCTCCCCGGCCCCTTTCAACCCCTTTGAGGATGTCGCTCGACTGGCATACGGAGCATGTGGCCATGGAAAGTGATAAGTTCATCCATCGTGGATGTTATTTCTTTCGAAAACCGTTTGCGAACTTCAGCATTACTGATCTGATGTTCCCACCCGACTCGTACAATGCTCGGAACATATATCCATGTTCGAACCCTAAAATTTCTTTTTACGTTCTCGGCATGCAGCGGGCAGGTTTCTGACCCGCATGATAGTATGAAAACCCCCGCAGTATTATAAACTCGGCCCTTGACGGAAAAACGGATGTCACACCTACGCCATAGGTGATTCAGGGTCACAAAAGTTGTTTCGGTCTTTCCAATTCAGATGGAAATGTCGTCTTTCACGAGGCCTCTGGGACTGATACAGCTGTCCAGGTAGACAAATTTCTCTGCTACCTCAATCGGCTCATCCACAAGCATGAGGTTAGGGTCCGAGCCCACCCGGTCTTACATCAGCAGTTTATACTTTGCAGGTGTGAAGTTCATCTCAAAATGTGATGCACAACTATTCAGATTATTCAGTATTCGCATCACGGCAGTGCCATATCGAAGAAGAGCCATATCGTCTGCGTACTCGATATCTGTGGGGGTGAAAATGGGATAGTTGCATTCTCTTGCAGGAAGGAACCCAGCTTGGTTTTCACGGATCTGTCTCTCCCTGTGTCCAGTCAACCGTCGGAGGATAAGGCCAGAGGACACCTTCAATGCCACAGCTACCGAGCTGATGCCACGGTAGTTTTCACACAGCATCCGTACCCTTTTTAAAGATTGAAATAACTGTCGACGTGCTCCGTTCTGCAAGCACTTTTTCTTCGGTTCGTATCGCACCGATAAGCTTTGTTAGGTGGTCTCTGTTTTCTTTGAACAGGGTTTAATACGAGCCATCCGGTGCCGGTGCCTTTTTGGCTTTTCCGTAGAAATATTTCCAGCTTTGTTTCTTCTTCCGTCGGGCGTTTATTGTTTAGATTCCATTCGCTCGTATCTCCAGAGGCTCTGTTGTAGAAGTCCAGTTCTTCCAAGTGTTCCACCCATATTTTTGGTCGACGTTTCTGTGAGTGAATTGATGAGCCATCTTCTCAGTCGACCGTTGCTTTCCCGGGGCAAGTCGATCGTATCAGTTGATATGGGGCACCGCTTTTTCCGGTAGCAAGGGCGTTCTCCACCTCCCCAGTTTTCGATGTCCACTAAAGATCTTGGTCTTTCATTGGGCTTTTCACTATTTGGCATTTAAGGGATTTGCATGCGCCATCGTTTCCGTTGTTTGTTGGCACGGATTGCCCGGCACCAATCATGGATAACGATCTCGACGATATCCAGTGGTCTTGTGGCAGAATCGGAGAAGTGGGACAGACAGCGCAGCCGTTTTCACATTTTGCCATGCTTCATCCAAGTACAGCATTGGTTTACTGGAGGGAGTTGCTGGGCTAATTCAGCTCAATACTGTTGAGATATGGTACTTTTCTAACCCGTCTCTTCGGGAGAAAGGCAGCATCGCTGCTTCCATGAATATGAACTTGCTGGTCGCCTAGAGAAAACACCTTGCTGTCTTGACACTCCTATCGCAGAGGACAGTACAACTTAACCCCCAGACCATCTCGTATCGTGATTGCGCGTAGTACGGCGTTTCACTGCTCTCAGTCTGACTGCCCCATTTTTGTTTTTCTGTCATGGTTCCATCTTGTGGAGCGAAGTTCCCGCGGGATCATTGCTGCACTCAAACCGCCACCACGTCAAGGTGGTTTTAGGTCTGCAATTTTGCGTGTACTTTCGATCGGTGGGTATCTTGGGTCCCTATGCGTGTGTGGACCTAAAGTCGTGTCTGGGTCACATGCCGTGCACTATGCACTTTTGTTTCGTAATTTGCTACTTTATAACGCTTATGGAATCCCACCCATAATAAAGTAAAATATTGCTTGGGGTGCTAACGTACGTACAAACAAATATCTGTCATTAATAACCCACTGAACTAACCAGTCGTTGGTTAAAAATAAAGGTGGAAAATTTAGTTTGGGTCATAATCCACACGTAATCCATCCATATAGTAAGCGTGAAGCAGTAAGGTTTTAGAATTTCCCCTGGACGGAGAGCTGTAATTTTTCCTTCGTTGGAAACCACGACGTCTACATATCACCTTCGAGTTATCCAGCTTCAGCAATATGCATTTTCCACCAGAAATTCATTACTCCTAATTGCTTTTTGATTTGTTCATTGTTCCAGTTGCTTCACGCACGACAACATATTCCGGACTCGATCTTGTGACAGCTGGACACCGTTTATCCCCATTCACCCTCCCGATTCCACCGGATGTTACTCCTCACTTCTGTGTCGCGTGTAATCCCGTTCGCGGTCTCGCAGTTGAGTCCCGCTGGTTGCTGCGGATGGAGTTTTATTTGGCCTGTGATACTCACAGTTCTGACTTTTGTTTTGAAGCCATCCCTTGGAAGCTACTCAAGACCGAACATCTGGCTTGTACTTTTCCCATTCTTTTGATTCCCTCAACTCCGCTTCAGTTGAAAACCTCAGGAACTGTCGTAGAACGGCTGGTATCTTGAAATTCTGTAACAAACACCATTGTCTTTGTGATTCTTCTCGTTTTGTTATTATGGGTTACTTTTAATCCGTGTTCACGTTTTCTAATTTTAGTTCACCCGTTTTTCACAGGTCGAATACAATACACGAAAGTCTGCGTTCACGTAGAATTTATACCGCCACGTGTGCAACAGTGTTGTGGGAGTGACTACCCTGAAAAAGTCAACGGTTGTTTCCGAAGTCAGATTACTTTTGTTTCCTAGTCATCTAACTTGCTCCTCGCTTAAATGTCCAATAGTGGGTCACTCAGCTGCTTCCTTATTGGCATCAGTTGAGCTAAATGACCAGCTTATTTCCTGAGTACAAGTTGGCAGTTAGTGGACGCAGCAGCTCGGTTTTTCGTGTCTTAACACACGTTAAAGAGACCATTGGGCTCCATCCAGTTTTTCTGGTAAGCCATTAACAGCTACAATGCTTCGGTGCCCCTACATGAGAGATGCTATTCATCCTTCAATAGTGCAATGGTAGAATTATTCACTGATAGAGAGATTTCAGAACACGCAGTACTTTAAGCGACCGGAGATACTTGTGGATGTCATGATAAGAACGAATTTAGTGAAAACAGCTCGTTTTGTGTGCTTGTTCATTCTGGCGTATATATCAAATTTGTATGAAGCCAGACATGGATCACGTGCATGATTAGGTAAACTAATAGGTAAAAATATAAAAGGGTATACAGATCTGCGGGTCACGAATTCAGACGAATGACGTCATAGTCACACCCGACAAACTCAGGAATTCTTCAAACTGTCACTCATGTATCCTGCCAGACGGATGTCACTGAACCAGTCAAGGACGGTAAGACTTGGACTTTGATCGATCACGGAAGCTGCCGGAGTAAGACCATTAATCCCAGAGCTCTATGTTCAAAAGAAACTTATGCTGACCTACTACCTATTCTGTTCACATGACTAAGTGGGACTGGTGTGATACACTTTCCTCCGTGACCCATTGACCTGTATACTCTTTCCCTTCCTCTTTTACACTTTTACCCTTGCTGTAGTGGACAACACACCCAAGTAGGTAAGGCCTGTCAGTGACCTGAAAATATGGAGTGGACTCCCTATATCTTAGGATAGCGCGGACCCGAACAAAGGTATGGACGGTACCCAATGTTGGACGCTCGAAAATAAACCCTCTATCCTGATAATGGTACATCAACCCATCTGGTCGAGTTCAGTCGACTGCTAATAGAGAGTGAACGGTAGTCGGGGAATTTTACGACACCTGTCTTTTGTAACATTCATGAAGTATTTGGAATTATTTATCCTGATTTTGAGCCATTGACTTGTCTTTCTTAAAACGCTTGGGGATACAGTTTAACTCCCATTTAGCTCAACGAAGAAATAAGTTGCAACATTCGGTGTGTACAGTTTACCTTGATATGCTGCTATAATTAAACACAAGCGTCAACATGATTTTAGACTGAAAAAACAGCCGAAAATGTTATTACGGAAAAAATATGGTTGGCGTTTTATGGCTCTCTGCATTTATTGGGTTGCATAGCTCCATCGAATTGTGTGAAATGTTTGACGAACCTTTCAAATTCAAACAGGAATCCGGTATTGATCAACACGTTCAATGAGTGTTTCGACATACCCCGGCGAATAATATCGCACCACTTCTTCCGGAAAGCAATTATTTATTGCCGTTATATATTCTGCCAAGGTTTCCTTGTCATCAGGCTTTAACTCCTGGATCTTCTTAAGCGCTCCTGATGAAACGAAATTGCGACGTGCGTTGGGGTCATGCGGTAAGACCTTTGCAAACTGCGCTACGGCATATTTCAAAATGCTCCCAGGTGCTCGCGTCAGCAGTGGTTCGATTGCATCCAGATCCACGCATTTCTGGATAATCTGTTTGAGGGCTTTCTTAGACTATATTTTCAATGAATTATTTCTGATTACGCTTACCTTTGATTTGAGTTCTTCGGGCGCTCCGGGCTCAATGAAACACTCTAGTATTATGGGTAGGACGTCACTCTTGGCAACGGCTTTTGCATGTTCTGGTGTATGTCTTCCAATCTGACCAAGAGCCCACGCACACGCCGCCTTGACGTCTTCGTTTGTTTCACGCCACAGAGTGCACTTTAGTTGCGGTACACTCTAAATTTTATTGCCAAAAAAATTACAAACTTACGCCACACATTATTATTGCCATCGCCAGGCTTTCTGAATGTGCCGCTATGTAACCGAGGGCCATTACTCCTGGAAGGATAACATAGCCTGAATTATTACTGAGGAATTCCACTATGCTTGCTGCACCCCCTGCATTGGTCACCAGTTGACTGAGTTCTGATGTGTGTTTCACAATATCCTTAATCAGAGTAGAACAGTTTTTCCTGACGATTTCATCAGCATCTTTCAGAGAAACGAGAATGGTTGGGAAAATTTCAGCCTCAACCACAAGCTCAGCTAGATCCACAGAGTGTTTTGCAATGTTCGATAGCACGGCGAGAACCTGACGCTGAGAATAAGAGCAGAAGTTTATTAAGCTGAATTCATCGAAATATCCTACCTTTAGTAATGTGTCAGGCTGCAGCAGGAGTTGGGCGATATGTGCGATAGCGCCCGTGTCTGCTATCGTTTGAGCCAACTCAGCGGAATGCTTGGCGATATCTGATAGGGCAGCAAGTGCCATACGTTTGAGGCTGATTTCAGGTTCTTGCACACATAGTACCAGGAGAGGAATGGCTCCAACATCCACAACCGTCTGAGCGAGTTCGGTCGAGTGCTTGGCGAGGTTTGCTATGGTGGCTGCTGATCCCTCCTTAACAACAGGATCAAACTCCTCTAATCCTATGATTAAAGCGTCAAGCGCCCCAGAATCGACGACCTTCTGGGCGAGTTCAGGAGAATGTTTCGCAATGGACCTTAAAACGAACGTAGCTGCTCTTTTATAGAATCGCTGGAAGTTTTAACCACAAAAATTCATCACATCTTACGTTTTGTTCAGCTAGTGAGTAAACCAACTGTGGTAAAATGTCTTCCCTGACTATTGCTTCTGCCAGGTCCATTCTTTGATTGGCAAGTCTTCCAAGGGCAATTGCAGCCGTTTGTTGAATAGTAGGCACTGTATCCAAAAGCAAAGGTCGAAGCAAGGACATCACACCCGCATTCTGTAGTGTCTCGATGTTTTGCTTCTGGAGCGATAGATCTGCTACCGTCTGAACGAACTGTAATCTAGCTTTCTGATATTGTTCGAATTCTACGACCTGAAAGTCATCATTTAACGTGTGCGCTACCTCTAAGTACGCGACGTTGGCTCATTTTTCGAATGTCCACGGAGTTCTAATACTATGGTGAAATAAATTGTGATGTACTAAAACAAAATACGCATGAAGTGTGGTGGATTCGCGTAGCTGGCAGTTCGGTTTTGCGATGAAAGCCAGTGAACCTTTGTCACCAACGCCTAGCTGGTTCTCAGTATAAATTCAAGAAGAATAAGTCCACAAATTCAGAAGGAGATACACAGCCTTGAGGCTTCCGCCCGAGTTTTGGTTGTTCTTTCAAAGAGAATACACAGGATCAAGAGTTTCATCCAAGTTTCCCGGATCGATTTTGTTCTTGTTGTTCAACGGCTGCCCTTTACCTAAAAGCTACGAGTGAAAAATGGCGTAATACTCCTCTTATGTTCTCAGCGCGGGGCAGTACGCCTGCCGGCGCGACAGCTCGTATAAAACAGCCTCTACTATAAATTTCAGCTGGGTACTGGACGAAGCCTGGAACATTATCAGAGGAGATTTTTCCGTACGGCAAATACCCAAAATGAGAAATTTTTGCCTGATAAAAGTATGTGCTCTGTGCCTCAAAAAGCGCGGGGCAGTACGCTTGCCAGCGCGACAGCTCGTATAAAACAGCCTCTACTATAAATTTCAGCTGGGTACTGGACGAAGCCTGGAACATTATCAGAGGAGATTTTTCCGTACGGCAAATACCCAAAATGAGAAATTTTTGCCTGATAAAAGTATGTGCTCTGTGCCTCAAAATCGTACCATGTACCCGTGGGTGTTGCCGGGTCAACAGTGAGAAACCCGTTGGCCGAATCTTGTTGAAAAAGGCCATAAGTAAGCATTGGGTTTCCTCGGATGCCACAAGGGAAAACAGTTGAGCACCGCAAGAATCATTTCATACTCCACGGATTTAGCCATTCAGAAAGTGTCAGCTCAGTGACCACAGTTTTACCGCGTCCACGTTCATAAGGGGGTGATGTAGTTGGGGTTCCAGGAGGTCACGTCATTCGCAAATTAGACATGGACATGAAAGACTTCTGGAAGATCATTTCCGTAAATCAGAAACAGAGGCGGTCTTAAAACGCAGCCACGCGGAGCTCCGATGGAGAACGGCACGGAAGAGTAAATCGGGCACACTCAAATAGGATGTCATATATGATTGAAATGTCCTAATCCGGCGCGGGGGTCTATTTCCACTCCATAAGACCCGATTTTGTGGGGCAGCAGAATATTTGGGATTCTGCGGGATGCTGTAGAGATGTCAAAAACTATGGCGTCCGCTAAGCCCTTCATATTTGCCTTGGATTATCTGTCCATAAATGAGAGCATATTCATTCCGCAAAATCATTTTGAAAGGAATACGTATCGGTTTGGAAATATCAAACAGACTCTACCGGGATGATTTAAGAGTGCTCCAGAATGCGCTTTAGCTCCTTGCATGACGTGCTATTGTGGCTGATGGGCCTGCAGCTGCCGTGTGATAAGCGGTCACAAGTTTTGTAGTTTGGTTTTATAGTCACTTCACACTAACTAGGGGGAAGGTTGCCTTCGTTGAACAACCTCGGGTAAAAAAGCCCCGCTGACGTAAGCGGCGTTTCCTTTGGGATCTTTGGATGGACCGCATGTGGCCCCAATATGCTGGAAGAAATCTGTTTGTGCAAGAGTTGTCGGTGAGCCTCTTTGGAGACCAAGTCATTCAGAGGCTTCTCGTAGATTCGCCTTTCCAAGATTGGATATGATCATGTCGCTGGTGAGGATCCACACCTGCATAGTGTTCTTCTGAGCCTCAGATGGCACTACTGCTACTCCTCGGTTCTCTGGCTTTGATCCTCAAAGGGAAGGCGGGTAGCCTGCTTCTTTGTTATTCCCGTGCAGTTAGACAGTAAGTTTCGTTTCTCCCGGAACGCTCTCTATCGTTGTATATTTTTTGTATGTTCCATTGACGGTACTGCATCTTACGAAATTCCAGTCCATCTTGCAGCCATTTCTCTGGAAATAGTTGAACCGCGTTTCCAGAAGAAGCCGAACCATTTTGGGTAGGGTTCGATCGGTTCCACTGCGCGCGGCTCGTCTGGCATGAACATACCGTGAATGTTTCAGATTATGGTCCTGTTAGTCTCGTCCGCAGAAGCTGGTCCCAGTTTCAATTAGTCACGAAGATACGCATCCATAAGAATTCTGCACAGCAGAAATCTCGACATCGCGTTTAAGGTTCTGGGTTCTTGGCGCAGAAGCAGATAAATCCAGCACACAATGGTCACTATGTCCTGGTGGGCCATCAATTACCACGCGATCAACAAATTGTCCTCCAGTTTATCAGACGACACGCTTAGTGCAACCACTGTGCTAAATGACTTTGGTCGGTGATATGAATAAGGTGGAACACCAGTCGGGCGGCCCTTGGAGCGTTTAAACTAACCACCAGCAAGAGATGCGTGAAGTGATAACTGCGGGATATTTGCTGAAGCGTTTTTGAGGTACTGGTCATCTTCCGGTGGATTCGATGGTTATACACTGGTGATCAGATCGCGATTCCAAGGATCGCCTGGAAACAAGGCAATAGATTTTCACTTAGTGGACGAAGAATGGTGACCCGTCATGGATACAAAATCGGCAATGGAATCCTAAATATAAATTTCTACAAATTTATTTCTCATTCCGGTGATCTCATCATGTTCAAACAAGACGAGGCGTAACAGCAAACAGCGTCTATCCAACTTGGCGTATTTGGGCGAGGATATCCGTGGAACCTTACAGGAGACGAACCATTCAGTTCATCGGGACTTTAACAATTGCAGTCAAGGGTCTCGGTTTGAGAAATGCCGGGTTTTCCTAAACATATCCATCTGATATAGTGCCAGTCAATCAAAGAAGTCAAGCATCCTTCTGCTTGGAAGCGGGCGGCTGAAATATCAACCTATTAATTCGAAGGCGATTTTCTGCCCACTGGCTAGTGTTGTTAGTTAAATGATACACCGTTTAAAGTGATACGATGGAATTCCAAGTTGGCCTTTTCAGATAGTTACCCGAATAATGCGTACGTATTTTCCCCAGAAACTACAGTGTGCAAAGGGTCATCTTTCATTTTAAAATGCACGCCTATTGGTGCCTTGGTGTCCAGTAATTTCACACATTTTTGCGGTAATTTGATTGCAATTGTCTCTTTTCAGATATTTCTCCAAATAATGCGTTTGTATTTTTCCCAAAAACTGCAGTGTGCAAAGGGTCATCTTCCATTTTAAAATGCATGCCTATTTCTACCTCGGAGTCCAATAATTCCACACACTTTTGCGGTAGTTTGTTTGAAATTGTCTCTTTTTGCCATTTAATTTAATTTTGCTGGTCTACTGGCCTGGACGCACGCGTCAAACCTTGCCGAAGCCGCAGTTTGAACGAATGAAGCTTTGACATTTATTGCAACCCCCAATGCCTTCCCATTCTGCGGCAGTTTTGTTGGAAGTAACTTGAGTGTGCTCCCTTTCCTCTGGGGGCGCGAAATTCATAATTTCATGGGCCGTTAGTAGTGTAGCACGATGTGAGTTGTGTGTAGGTTTGTGGAAGGGTTGGTGCCGTTTCGCGTTTTCTTTTGTATTGGAATAGGAATTTTCCTAATGATTACGTGAACAATGATTACAACCGCTTTGTACGCGCCGTATGGAACACGCTGGGTCGGGAAACAGTAGGAATAGGTTGCGGTCGTCGTACACTTATCGTGACGCCATGCTGAAGTTTGTGAACGGCCGCGTATACGAGAGTGAGACATTCGGGGTTCTCATGGTGTTCAGGACTGGCCAGGGAGTCGTGGAAAACAACAACGGATTGGGAAGTTTCCTGGGCTCATAAAGGACGTGGCGTGGTTCATTGCTGTTATTCAAGTGGAGCAATAAAATATTTACGGGATAGATAGAAAAAGTGTCAAAAAGGTCAGTTGGAAGGTACTTTGGTATGAGTTACACTGCGCCCTTATATGAAAGGAACTCAAGGGTGGACAAAGTTTCTTAATGCTGCAGTGCGGCGATGCCGCCGAGTTCAAAAACAGTAATCGGTATTCAGACAAAATTAGTATTCACGCTGTTCATGCGAATAGATGTTGGTGCATTCGAATATACGGGACACGCGCTATGTCAGTGGTGCGCACCTAATATAATACTAATAATGTGTACTCCCAACCGTCCAGTCTGATCATAAGTTTACAGTCAGAATGAAGCATACTGGGGGTTCCCTTATATGAAAGGAACTCAAGGGTGGACAAAGTTTCTTAATGCTGCAGTGCGGCGATGCCGCCGAGTTCAAAAACAGTAATCGGTATTCAGACAAAATTAGTATTCACGCCGTTCATGCGAATAGATGTTGGTGCATTCGAATATACGGGACACGCGCTATGTCAGTGGTGCGCACCTAATATAATACTAATAATGTGTACTCCCAACCGTCCAGCCTGATCATAAGTTTACAGTCAGAATGAAGCATGACTGGGGGTTTCGGGTAGCAGGGATTGGGCGAGAGAGTACAATGTCATAAACAGTAGGAGGTATTCGATGAAATAATAATAATAGGTTTCTTTTCCAACTTGTAGGGAACAATTGGCATGAGGTCCGACTAGTTTATAAACTTATCCGGCTGACATGAACTAAAACCGAAGAACCATTGCCAATAATGAGTGACCTTGAGCAGTTGGGTGAATGGCTGGAGTCACAACGAGCAAAAGGGTAGATTGAGTTAGAATAATTCCAATTGGGATAACATGGCAAGTTTTGCCTCAAAAATGTGTTTTACTCAGAAACTAAGCAGGCTCACTGGTTTCACTGTTGTAGGAAAGTCAAGTGCAAGGTTTAGGTTGGATGTGGACATAGTGCTAAAACATGGCCAACCGAACACCGTATACGAATTGATCTTGTGGAAGAGGTAAACCAAAAGTGCAACAGGAAGCCAGGCTGGCCAAGTTTGGGGGAAAATTCATCGGGTACGAAAGAACTCGTCCC